AAAGTCATTTTTTACCAGCTGATCGCCCAGCCCACATAACTATTGAAAATTATAGATTATATAGGACAAAAAAGCTGCTACAGTATATCCATTGGCATGTACTGTGTTGGACAGGCAAGGTGTCAAACTTTATAGCATGTGGGAGAAGTTATTGAGAATTGCTTAACAGTTTTCAGCAGAAGATGCTGTGTCAATATCAGAATTTTTTTATATAAATGTAACAGTTCCAATGAAAATTTTAATTTACAAAGTTGTTCAGTTCCAGGGTAGAAGGAGAAAGCATATTCAACATCACCACAGATGCACAGTAAGTGCTTGAGGGGGAAGGTGGCAGGATCAGTTGCAAATCCCCACTTTGTGTATCTCCCTGCCTAAAACCTCACTAAGGTCTTGGTTTTATTCTAGTGGGAAATACTGAAATCTCAGGATGCTTTTCAGGATGGGAAAAACTTTTTTTTTGCCCAGCTCCACATTTGAAACTTCTCCAGCTTAATTATTCCTGATGTCTGTGTGGTTGCTTTAAAATCCAACAAAGAATTTGTAGGGTACGAGAACAGTGTCCAATTTTCTTTACCCAGTGCAAGCTGGAAGACATGATGGAGGAATATTTCAGTAATTAGCTGTAACACATTTCACAGGTAGATTCAGATCAAAACTCAAAAGAAATGCAGATAATGGAAGGAATTTTCCAGACAGTTTTTCAATATACCTCTATCACTAAAAGCAACATAAGTTGCACCTGAAAAGCTATAATTTGGCCACATCTGTAAGCACATCAGTGTTCTTTCCACTGCTTCACCAAGCGCTTGGGGTTGGGGTTTGCCACATTTCCAGTGGTTTTACTTTCAACAGTTTTGGTTTTAAGTTATTGCCTCATTATGATTTCAGTTATCCACCTATTGCATGTTCCATCCTACTTGTGACTGCTCTCCTGACACCTGCTTTTGCAGGAATTGATGTACGGTGTTCAGTAGCACACTGGCAATGTTTGTTCAGTACAGTGCCTTTGCCATTCCTACAACCATCAGAAACTAATTAAGCATATATATGATGGCTAACGTTTTTGGTTATTTTTTCTCCGTGTGTTTTCTTTGAATTTTGACAGTTGTGATATTTCACAGTATGAAAACAACATTCATTTTACAGCAGGTTTCTTTGCAGACCAGCAAATAACAAAACTGGTGGAATTCCTGGGTAGGATGTTCCTCTAGTAGAACAAGAAAACTGGGGCTGACAGATGACAAGTGAATTATCTAAAGCAGTAATTTCTTGCTGAAAATTGTAGCAGTAAGCAGATAAAAGCTAGTCTTCCCCTTTTGGAAAGTAAGGAAGGAAAGCAACTAATCTTTAGACAGCTACAGTCCCTTTCTTCATTGACATTGTCATAGTTCCTCTTAACTGGGCATGAGAGGGACTTCCAAGAGCTTTTATTCTTAGACCAATGTGACAACTCACCTTCTTGAGATTGCTGTTTCCACAGAGGAACATACATGACACTGTTAAACAAAATACTTTACCTTGAGGATGCTCATCATTTGTCCACACAGGAAATGGACCACAGGGCATGCGTACTTAGTTACCTATTTCTGTCTTTAGACAACTTAAGTTCACCAATTTTACTAACAGTATCTTCACTCACTGACCATCTCCTCCAGTCATTTCAATTTCTTCAGGCTGTCAAGTGAAAAACAATAGGAATTCTGAGATCACATCCCGACAATACTGAGTGCCGGAATCTAAAACAATTAACCTTTGCCTCTCGCTGCACCTTCATTTTAGTCTGGATAAGGAGCACACCTTTGAACAGAGTTTACTGACAGAGTTCACTGACTTAGAGTCCCCACTTACTGTGCTTTTATTCATGTTGCAGAGTGCTCTGGGAGTGCTCTTTCAGATGCAATGCAGTTGGCAGCTGCACTTCAAGGGTACATCTAACGTCCTCCAGCTGCTAATGGAGTGTGCACCAGTCACATCAGCTCCTCAGCACCAACTCTCCTGTTAAAGAAGGCACTCCTAGTAGCCTGCAGTACCTCTTAATGTAGGCATAAGCTCAGACACTTAAGTCCAGGAGAGAATTAAAGCACAGAAACTAATTGGAAGGAGACACCAGCCTGCTTACAGATAGGTATTTGTTTTCTGTTGCATTCCTTTTCTGCTGGCTAGCTGAGCTGGTTTCTGAGGATCCCTTCTGTAGGCTCCAGTTCTTCCCTGAATGTGGACTGAGACCTGCACCTAACGCAGGGTTCAGGATCCATCAAGTGACATGGCCTCTAGTATCCAGCAACCACTTCATACCCAGAGAAAGTGTGCTACATGGCAGTACTGCTACAAAGTAGTAGCAGTACTTCCTTCAAAAACTACATACCTTCAAAAACTAGAAAGTAAATCCTAGAATATTTGAGAAATTACTCTCCTTGTTCCTATGCCTCAAGTTGACCTGTAGATAAATGAAAAGCTTCTTACTCCACTAGGTGGTGTAATCTGTCTTTCTGGCAAATGCAGTCTTACAAATATTCTCCCTAATCCTTCATTCAAGATGGGGCCACAAAATATCATATGAAAAGTAAAACGGGAATCTGATCTAAAGGAGTCAGCAACTTTATCAGCTCATGCCTCTTCGGTGTTTTTTACGATTCCTTAAAAAAGCTTCCGTCGGGAAGGGTTAACTTACCTTTAGAACATACCTACATCCATGAAGGAATAAAGCAGGAACCAGAAACAAAAATATAATGGTCGGCCCCTTACACCCAGGTGCCATCTAAGCTGTTCATGTGATTCATCTCAAGTTTTTTACAGTGTAACACTCCTATAAGCTCTCTCCTTGGTTTATGTCTGAGTTACAAGATGATACAGTCAAACATACTCCTGGATCTTTCTTGGCCAGTTATCCTTGCACTTGCATGAGTGTAGTTACATACAAAAGAAACAGAAAATCCTAGCCTGCATAACAGGATGTATCCTGGAGGATATACCCTGGCTAAAGGTAATCCTGGTGGATATATGCCTCTGGCTGAAACAAAAACCACCTCCTTGGCTGATGCCATCCAACTCTTGGCTTCAATTGAAGTCCAGAGTTTAAAAAAAGTACGTCTGGATCATAGCTTGCTATTTGAACATTTGTAGGCATTTATTTGTTCATGCTCACTAAATAACATCTACTGACACACATGCAAAAAAAAAAAAAATCTAGGAAGCAAGATGCCCAACAACCCATCAGCAGCATAACTTAGCGTTCTGTACCTACTAATCTGACATGTGGTTCAGCCCTCCCTAAAGTTCAGGAATAAAGAAGTCCTTAATAAAATAATACAACTAGATAACTTTTATAGTGTTTCCAGGATGTCTTGCAGGTATTAAGCTTAAACAGAAGTCACAGAATTCACAAAAACAAACAAGGATGAGAGAAGAGACAGTTGTTCAAAGCACAAAACGGAATTGAACAAAACCAATCTGGAAAATTGGAGGAAGCTCAGCAATCCTATCAGCTGCAACTGCCCTTATGCTATCCGCCCACAACTTTGCTTGCTTGCCCTTGCAGAACAGATACTAGTAACTGGCATTTTTTAATGAACAAACCCATGAGAAACACAACCAAGAAACATATCCAACACAGAGTGAATCTGTGCTTTCAGCGCTGAAGCTTTCTGGTACTTCCTCACAGCCACAGTCTGTACAGAACCCACGTTAATTCAGTTTATTTATGTATCCAGATACATTCAAGATCAGCCAGAGCAGACAGCTCTAAAGAGTTTACATGCCCACCATACCCTCTCCAAGCACGGAATTTAAAATACAGGACTACCTACTGTGCATTATTAATGACATTTCTAAACGTTACTGCTACTGGAGGATTTGTTTATGAATTAAAATATAACAAACCAACTATTTCCTCTGTGGATGACTGATGCATGACAAATCTGAGGTATCTGTGTCTACAGTTGCCAATACTACAGACTTAGAAAATTTATCTGGAAATATTCTGTTAAATATTTCAAGCTTGGGTGGAAACAAAACTAGAAAGTTCCTCAACAGCTACAATAAAGGCTTTAATCTCATGAAAATAAACAGGTAGCAATTAGATTTGTCTCATAGTCACTTCTACAGCTCCATTTACTCTGGAATAATATTATCTAGAGTAGGGTCTGTACGGCATTATATTGACCAAAGGTTCCAAAAGTACAGCTCTTGATGTGACAGAAAAATGGATAAAGGTCCCTCTTGGTTATACACAGCAGATAAACAGCCTTCTTAATATTAATCATCTTGTGCATACATTTAATCACAAGAAGAGCAAGAAGTGGTCTGTGTAACTGTACATTCATACATGGAATAATCTTCACATTAAGTACTAGTCTTCTCTATGAAAAAAAGAAACCTGAGAAACACCATGACAAGCACGTTTACCTGTGCTGCACAGAGAATGTCTATGCTATGTCTAATTAGTGATGTTGATAAATTTAAACCTGAATTATGGTCTGCCGCAAAATCTCATACCAGGAGGCTGCCTGATAGCAGTACCAATGTACATAGCTCTGTCATAAGAAAAAAAGCACTTTGTAGTGGGCAAACACACACATTCTGAAAAAACGCATTAAGTATTTACAGGATGGAGGTTTGTGTTCCATTAAGTCACCTTCATGCTGTTGTTAGAATATTCCCCTAAACAGAAGTGGGCTTAAGAAAGAAAAATAAACTTGGCATAGGGAGATACCTAATACTGGCATCACATCAACAACATAACTGTACTCCAGTCTTAGTAAATGTGGGTTTTGCAGATTTCAGTTTGCAAATTCTGACAGCAGATGGTTGAAACCTGCCCTCATATAAATCCCATGCCTGAAATGGCATTGCCTATGTTTACACACCCTGAGAAAAGAGACTTGTGTGTCCAAAGAACTGAGTAACTTCTATTCCCACTTACTGGGATGCCTGTTACAGAGGGTAGGGGACACTTGAAACAACAGCAAAGTATCTGGCCACTATTACATACACAATAATTTTTTATTTAGATGCGGAAGGAAAATGTGTTTACAAGAATAAAGATCTAGGGAAATTTATTGCTGCCCTGAAATTCAGAGAAGTCCCACAGGCTCCCTGTCAACATGTCAGTGCTTGAACAAAAGGACGAGGAGGCTGAAGTCTTTAAATCACAGGCTACAGTCAGTATCAGCATAAACTGAATGGAGACTTCATCTCCACATCGCTCCCCGATTGATACAATCTGTGTATGAGGAGTAATCCAAATATTGGATTGCACATACTTGACAGGTCTTGCACCCCTCTTCACAGACAATGGTTTTGTCATAACTCACAATGAAGTTACTGTAATACTGCTCAAACAGTGTGCTGTGTGGCACAGACAACCGCTTGGCCATTTCATATAGGCTTTCTGGCTTCAAGTCTTCAACGCCATAAGCTTTAGTCAGGACATATTCTAATTTCCAGTTCGATTCATTTTTCTTGTTGGCGTCTCTGAGGTCCAAGTAAAACTGCCAAAGATCCTACAGTTAAAAAAAAAAAAAAGGAAAGAAAAAATAGGCACGTCTGTATTGCTTTCTTCCCTGCTTCATTAAGTCTCTGTAGTGATACACTGATTAGGAAGCTGTCACTCCTCATTATTAACAACTGAACAGAGGGTCATGTCCCACCCCGAGAGCTGGGCTTACACCCAAAGCTGGTACTTGCAGTGCAGTAATGGTGGGGGGATGGGGAAGAGAAGAAAAAGGAGGCACAAAAGGCAGCAGTGGCAGTTAGAGGTCTTTCCTGTCCAAGCTGTAAACCAAACTCTACTACGCTCATGTCTGCTTCAGGAGTGGGGCAAAAGGGTGAGAACCAGAACTTTCTTTTCTGCAGCCACTGCTTGAGGGGCAGAATGGACAGAAAAAGAACGGCGCAGGGAGAATTTAAGGGAGAGATGGAGATGCAGAAGTGAAATCTGCACAAGAAAGGAGCAGCCTGTATTAGCATAGTTCCCCAGAGAGAAACCCAGGTCCCAGTCAAGCTGCAGGATGCATTGTCACTGAACTTGGTGAGGTCAAGATTTTACCCTGAATTACAGAGACAATATCCAAGTCATTCAGAGATAAAGTAATTATACAGGATTCACTTTATCTCCAAAAATCACATGAGACTATAGAAGTATTCTACTTTTTTTTCCTTCTAAAGTTGTCTATAATTTCCTATTAAAAGTATAAGCTTTATATAGGAAGATGCATGATTACAAAAGACATCACATGGTTAAAAGTGCTTTTCTTCACCTGCTCTTGTACACCCTTTAGAAGCATTTCATGGACTGCATCCCAAAACTCAAGCTATCAGCAGCAAACAACATCGGTATGTAAACAAGCCCAGGATTTAGGTGAACCTTCTTCACTGTTGCAGAGCTCCCTGCAAATAGTTCTAGGATTCTACCCAAAAAATTTCTGACTGTCTTTGATTCTACATCGTACGAATGTTCCATAGAGAACATGAAGTACTCTGACCGAGGTCTCTTTCAGATTTGCTTTCCTTTGCCCAGGAAGAAAAATAAGAGTAAGCACCAAAGTTCCACCAATAGCCAGAATACTGCAAAGGCTGACATCTCACTGTAATTTTTAATGACACTATATTTAAAGTCTTAAACAATGCTTTAAAATCTTTATTTACCAGCAAGCTATAATCAAGAAGATCATATTGATACAATCTGACACCAGGGTTATTCGACTCCATTTGCCATACACTCTTCACTGGGGTTACAGCAGGTGCCACAAACAAGGAATTTACTGGCTTTCCTGCAGGAAGAGGAAGGTGAAGAAACAGTTTATTTTCAAACACTTCTTACTCAAACAAATGCTTTTTGTAGAGAACAACACAGCGAGAAGCAGACTGACTGGCTTCAGTACATTAGCATTTTTTTCCCTGGATTAGCTGTATCACTGTGAACTCCTTCTGTACTTCCACTGGATAGACCAAAATCTGCGTAAAAACCAGAATACACATTCCAGTGTGTACCAGTTAAGTCTGTCTATGCTAGAGGCTTCCCACCAACACAATCACCTGTGCAAAATGGTCTTGCCTATATGTAAGGTCTCTGTATTTTGCGTATTTCTACTAAAGAAATATTCAAAACTTTTAGTTGCTGTCTCCATGCTATATTTTACATGTTGCTTTATGTATTTTTTGCTTTATGTATTTACAATGTTATTAGAAACACCAGGGTATCATCACCTGACCCTGACTTCACTCACCTAGACTAGCCCAGCACCTATTATGCGAACACCAATCTTTGCAGCAACTGAAACATGAGGATGTATACAGGTTTTAATTAGACAGAATACGTAGGTTAAGTATATTGAGAGGTTCTCTGTGGAATGAAAAAGAAGCCCTAACTATTCCTTTCTCTGACAGCATCACAGCAGTGAAATCACAATTCAGTCTCCATATATGAGCAGAAGCTTTGAAACCTTGGAAATCAGTAGATCCTTCTGGAGAAGGATCACATGACATCCTTGTCTCTAAGTTGGAGGGACATGGATTTGACGGAAGGACCACTTGCTGGATTAGGAACTGGCTAGACGGCCACACTCAAAGAGTTGTGGTCAACGGCTCAATGTCCAAGTGGAGACCGGTGATTCTGCAGGGGTCGGTACTGGGACCAGTGTTGTTTAACATCTTTGTTGGAGTCATGGACAGTGGGACTGAGTGCACCCTCAGCAAGTTTTCCGATGACACCAAGCTGTGTGGTGTGGTGGACACACTGGAGGGAAGGGATGCCATCCAGAGGGACCTTGACAGGCTTGAGAGGTGGGCCAATGCCAACCTCATGAAATTTAACAAGGCCAAGTGCAAGGTCCTGCACGTGGGTCGAGGAAATCCCAAGCACAAATACAGGCTGGGCGGAGAATGGAGAGAGAGAAGCCCTGAGGAGAAGGACTTGGGGGTATTGGTGGATGAGAAGCTGAACAAGAGCCGGCAGTGTGTGCTTGCAGCCCAGAAAGCCAATCGTGTCCTGGGCTGCATCAAAAGAAGCGTTAGCAGCAGGTCAAAGGAGGTGATTCTCCCCCTCTACTCTGCTCTCGTGGCACAAATAGAAGACAGCCTAAAACTGTACAGATAAACACAAACTGTACTTAGCTACATGCAATTTCACTGTTTAAATTTTGTCAAAATATGCAAAATTATTAAAATAATTTGGAAGCAGTTACTTGCACATGCAAACTGTAATGACAAGGCAGCAAGATCAGTCTGTCCTCAGTGAAGTTTGCAGCAGAGGTGATGATTTCAGGCACAATGGGATAAGGTACAAAAACATGTAGGTACAAGACTGCCTTGAATACCATTTAAAAAAATATTAAAAGCCAGTTCTTTCACTAGTGCTGGATTCCTTTCTACTGGAGATTAATTCCATGATAATGCCATGTAAAAAGGTAAATTATTTTGAGTACTGTTACCCCAGTCAGCATTTTGGGCATTGCTTTTATGAGTTCATATAAAACACAGACAGAGAGCCAATTAATATTTGGGTATTTTACATAAACCAAAGCAGTGGACCTCCCACTGTTCTATGGTACAGACACAAATATCTAACTAGTTACTTGTTAGAGACGTTAGAGTGCTTCATACAGCCATGCCCATGCTTAAAACCAAGGGATTTCAAAGCAATAAATAATATTTTCAAACCTGGGTGCTTTTCTTGAAGGGAAATTAGCTGATCTAAGAGATGCAACAGGCAGAGACTTTCTTTCCCCTGCCTCCTGCCTACCCTTATCTTAATTAACTTTGAAGCAGCAGGGAACTCAGCAGAGAGGCACAGTAATGATGCAGGAAACACAAGAACACAGAGCATGTCTAGTTGGCCTGAGAACATTCCCTTTGACACATTACACAATAGCAGCTGGCTAGTATAATTTGCCCGTGTCACTGAGAGAGTGGAAAGGAAAGACTAGAAATTCTTGTCTAGGCATAAGCCTTCATTAAAAAAAAAAATAGGAAGCTTGGGGAGTCTCTTCTGACTTCAAATAAAAAAGACAGTCTGCCTTACAAGGTTCTCTTTGGAAAAAAAATGGGAGTGTGTGAGGCTTGCACTCTTGGTAGACAAATAGCAGCACTTCCTAATCTCCTTTTTCAACAATTTGTAACAGAGGCTGACTAGTAAGAAGATGCAAGAAAGTATTAACATGCTTTTAAAAGAAGAAAAAGATGAAGGATTCAACAAGCATCATTACCTTCTTCATCCAAGAGGACCATGATGCTATCTCTATGTGTATGTCCAAAAAACTGCCCCGCAATAACAGTACTGTATTTGCGAAAAATCTTTACCAGTTTCTCATTGTAATACTCCCTGATAGCTGTAGTATTCCTTGCATATGGCAAGTATCCTACTGGTATGTGTCCTATAATATATACCTAAGGAATTAGGTACAGAAAACACAATTAGTACCTTCATTTGAAACTTACACTTTTAGCTGTAACTTAGAAATGGTTAAAACAATTTCATAATAATGCTATCTTAGAAATGGCATTCTGAAAGCTGTAATTCACTATAGTTTTGTTATACAAAATACAAACAGTAAGAGTGTTTAAATTCATCATGAAAAAAACAGATTTTTTTTTTTTAGTCAATTCCAGATATTATTGGGAGAAAAGTTCCAACAAATCGATGTGTGATTTTAGGCCAAAGGAAAATTTGATCAATTATTTCAAATGAAAACATAAGTTACTAGGGCAAGACTTATGATTTGGTCCACAAGGGGACAGTAAGTAAAACTTATGTTAGAATATTACAGAGCCTGCAAGGTCAGAGTCACCAGAAACATGGAAGAACTGGTCAAAACCCCTCTGTCTGTGGTTGAGACCTGGTTCCTACTGCACACACCAACTAATATGCTGCAGGGTTTTTGAGGAAGGGAATTTTCTCCTTTCTCCTGACTGCAATATAATATTTTTAACATTACAACACCATAGCAAAATGTAAACATGTTTCAAATTAAACACTTCTGGTCAGGTGATGTCCAATCCCCACACCAATAAATCAAACGTGACCCAACAATTTATAACCTCACTTCAAAACCTGAGTATTTTAAGACAATTTATCATAACACTCAGATCATAGCAATTGATACAGCTTGGCTAAGTTTTGCGATTGACAAACTCTTTTCCGATTTCTATTTTTGAGACTTGTAATTACATAAAAATGGAAATTAAATATGCTAGGTTTTGTCTCAGGCCAAGGGTGTGCATTTTAAAATTAAAAGCTATGAATCAAAAGAGTCAGAACCAAAAGTATTAAGCATTCTCATCCTTCTATGGTACTTTACATAGTAGTAAAGAAAAGGTATTTTACTGTATCATTTGAGAAACTGCATTCAACTATTTTATTCATTGTTATAGTATAATGTGCATATTTAAGGACAAATTATTTAAAAATTAAAATTAGATTTCACAGTATCTTTGACAGCATTAATATTCTTCTAGAATCATGGTTATATTTTCAAGGTCTCTTACTTTTTACTTTTTTTTTCTTTTCAAAGTTCAAACAAATAATGCTGATTGGTTCTGTTCACAGCCCCTACCTTTTCCTGTTTTCGTGAAGAGGTTTCTAGTATTCCCTCCAGCCAGGCAAACTGGTTAGCTGGGTCAGTGATATTCACAGTTACACTGTTGGGGCTGTAATATAAATTTGTGTTCAGACTAATTATCCTGAGTGGCTGAGAGCTATCACTGGATTCAAACAGCTGGGTATAGAAGCCACCTGTGAAAATAAGACCAACATAATTTGAAAAATTAAAGGCTTCAAAGCACAACTTTAGAATAAAAGTATAGCACTGACAAAATACCCAGTCTTACTCTTTCTAATAAAATAGAATATGGCAAGTTTATCCAAGCCATGCATCTCCTTATCACAACAGAACATCTTAAGAATCTGGTTTCAGCAACATTTTAGTAGAGAAGTTGACACTGAATTTTTAATTAATTCTTGCCTGGTTTTGCCTGTGTGTTTATTTGACAATTTTCAGACGCAACTATCCAACTGACAAGCAAGAAGTGCCCTGTAACATTTCTCCCACACTGAGAGATGCAGTAATTGCTAAGAAGTCCACATTTCTTGAAATACTGCAAACATATAGGCTCCTCCAGGATGAACTGTTTGAGTTTAGTAGCCTTGTACTTTGAAAGTCATTTAACTTCAGACTGGAATGCGATGAAAAGTAAAGATTACATTTTCCAATCCAAGCTCCTAAAGCTCTCCATGGCATACAGAGTTTCTTCAGTGGGCGCAGTTTCATAGTTCATGGACTTCAATGGAGCCATGGCAACAGGGTTACAACAATATACCTTAACTTAAGGTCTGCCCCTTTGAGTTTTATTTTTCCTATTAGAGTTTCTACTTCTGCTCTTACACAGAGTTCCTTCTCATTCAGGACATAAAAACACAAATTGAACTTCCAAATCCCTGAAGTTTGAGTGGATTGGAAATTGGGTTGAACTTTGCAGTCCTTTGCTAAAAAGAAAAATCATAATTAGGATATCAGTATTCTCCCAGTTTAGTGTTGGACACAAATATGATGCAATTAACAGTATAGTCACCAAGACTATATGCTATCATAACTTGAACAAATATGTGCCTATTCAATATGCTCTGAAATACACAGTGTCAAAACAGAAAAAACACTTCAACAGTTTTTTTACAACCAAATTTAAGTCTTCTTGTGCATCGGATGCCTTTATCTAAAATGTATTATGAGGTCTTGAAGGCAGTAAGATATTTCACATGCACTAGTACAAAACCAATAATACTGTACATGTTACAAGAAGCAATAATTATTGCATCAGAAGAGAATAAATTTACCCTGAAGATAAGCATTGCTATTCAAAAAGACAAGTAACTTCTTCCAGGAGAAGCATTACAGATAATCCATTGTGCTGGTTCATCCTATGAGACTTAGCTAAACAAACAGGACAAATCTATAGAAACATTAGTTCTCTAAGCCCTAGCTTTACAAGGCATTATTGGCATACTTTACCTTTTTTGAAGGTATTGATTGCTTCATCAGTTAGCCAAGGCTTCCAGAAATCTGCTACAGCATTGTAAACTTCACTGGTAGTTACAGGAAGCTGATCCTGTGAGAGAGCAGAACCTACCTGAGTCTTAGCACTCAGACCCACAGACAAAGAAGTAACTAAATTATCCCACCTGACTTCTCGCTTAATGCTTAAGTATATCAAATCATCACCAGGATGAATTCAAGAAAGGAAAAAAAAACATTTGAACATCCAGTATTGCTGATCAGGAATAAATGCATGAACTAAGTCAGAACTGACTGCATGGCCTTGTTAATTCATTGATAAATTAATGCCAAACATATTTGAAGCCTTAGGAGCACAGCAGAGTGGAAAACCATACATTCTTCAAAATTAATAAATGTATACAAACTGAAGAAACAAAGTCTAAATACAAAGTCTCTTGGAGGAAAAGCTTGAATATAAGCTTAATTTATAGGAGGTGAATTTTTCAAGCAACTTGGGGTTCATAGCAGCTCCCCAAAACGCCAACTATGGCCCTCAGAAGCATTCTGGTGAAATTCAGAAATATTTCCATTATATCCTGTAGTTCCAGTAACAAAGCATTTAAAACATAAAATAAAAGTTTTGTCAATGTTTTCTCCCACCAGCTCTAATTAGGACTCTTCAGTCTGAGCCAAGCAATGCCCAAGTACCCCAGCCTGATAAGAGCTGATAAGAGCCAACCCTGACAGGAAAGTCCCAGCCTGGCCTTGCCTGTCCTAAAATACCTGCTTGGATTCTTAGTGCTAGAAGAAAAAAAAAAAAAAAAAAAAAAAACCAAAAAACAGAGGTTGAAAAATAGGAACAGTATTACAGTGCATGTTTTCTTAAACATAAAATTTGACTTTTATGAGATCTTTGAAACTAAAGCTACTTTACTAGAGGCTTAGGCACTAAGTCTCTGTCTAGAAGTGGTGCAATCAGAAGTCTGTTCAGACATTTGTTGTTTGCAGTGCACAGACACCAGTTATTAAGAAAGCTTTGAGCCACACCAGTTCAGCCAGAGCTAACAGTCACTAACAGACACAGCAAAACCTGATCTCAGATAAGAGATCGTTTATGGACTGAAGGTGGTTTGGACTCAGGGAAGTCAGTGCTCTGTGAACTTGTGGATTAGACAGCAGTTTGGGAACTGGTGTTAAGCAGGGGTAAGGATGTGAAACAAATAAGACTATGCAGAAAGACCGAAGTTACAATACACGATCTGAAAGGTACCCCAATGCTTGATTAACCTGAGTAGTATTTTTAATAGGCTCTGCAAGAAAAATCACCCAAGACTGTTAAATTGTTAAGACGGACAGGCCAGAACACAGTAGAGAGCAATAAAATTCTTCAGTGCATGGTGAGCGCGCAGCTTTCACGCTTGTGCTGGAACAGCCTACAGTGTGTGGCCTGCTCCACATCACTTCCAGTCTATGGGACATTTGCCAAGCATGTCCAGATGAAAAACAGAAATGTCATCAACAGCAAATAAAACATCCAACAACCTGAAATGACCCCAATAGTGGGGAATTTCTGATCCCACAGTCTTTTTCAAACCGTAATAGAAAAGTATGTCAGTTCTGCGCGTTGCTGAAGCCTGCCATTTCAAAGCAAAGTGCCACAGAAACACTCCTGCGTGGTTTTGTGCAGAGAGAAGTACAACAGTTAATTCCAATCAACAGCCTGCTTCAAAATGCTGTTTGCTGCCCATCTGCCCCTACTGATCATCTTTTTTCTATCTTCAAGTTTAATTTCACAAACAAACTCATATTTGTTGGAAAAGTCACTACATTCAAATGTCAATGTCTGCCACATGGAGTTATATCACTCTCTGTCTACAAGGTTATTGTATACAGCTTTGTTTCTCCTTATCAAAGGAGACTGCTGAATGACAATCATTCTCTGTTAAGACTTAAAAAAAAAAATTAAAACAAAACACTGAGGTAAGACTTAAGGTGTTATTTATCAAAATACTTTACCAGTGGTTTCTGGTGAACCAACCTGCCCCCTGACAAGCTGAAGCTACACCACCAGAGTAAGTACACAGGAGACCGAAGTCCCAGCTTGGTTTGGGTACTGACGTTTCCAAGACATGCTACATGTTTAGCTCTTATTTTCTCTCTCACATTCCCCTTTCCCCTCTCTGAGCATCTCTGTTACTCTCTGATTTGGCAATCACCAACTCCAGTGATGATACAGGCAATCATACAATCAGCTATTACACCATGACATATCCTGAGAGGCCTAATGAGTAATGCAGAAAGCTGGAATAGAATTATTTGGAGGTGTGAAGGGGTGTTACTGAATTCCCATTAGGCACTTCAAGCAAAATACTTTAGTTGACTTGCTCCACATCCCTTCCAGTCCCCTCAGATAAAATGACAGAATTTTGCTAAGAAGCAAATTCTGTCCTGTGTGCTTCCAGATCAACCCACAATATGCTTTAAAGGACACATGAAGCAACTGTTTATTTTTGAGCTATACCAAGAACAATATTTGCCGAATATTGAAAGTAAAAAAAAAAAAAACAGTGTCCTCAGCTGCAATGACCCACATATCCAGTAAATCACCAATGCAACCACTTCTAAGTGTCCAATAAGGAAAGAGAAGAAAGACACATTTTTAACAGCAGTGGCAAAACTATGTGAACATTACAAAAATTCTGCCACTAGTCTGACAAAAAAAACATCCAGGGATGTCAGCAGATTTCCAGTAGGCCTTGAATCTTACTATGGGCTCACACATCCATTAAGGATGCCATTTCTATTAGATTATCGTACACACATGCATGACCTACACAAGAAAAAAAAATAAGTGTTTATTAACTGTGATGAGACATGGTGGTTCTAAGCCATGCGGAATGATTAGCAGTAAATCTGCATCAGCTCAGGCAACGTACAGATTTTACCCAATATCAGCACTTGCTTGGGTACCTTAACACACAGAGAGAGATGTACTTTAGGTTCTTGATTTGAACTATTTCTAATTTTAAACGCTAACTGGGAGATCGTAGAATACTGTTTCCACAATAATAGTTACACAAATTTAACTCGGATTTTTCATGCTTGCTTTCTGAGGGGTTAGGAACACACTCAATTTGATAGACAAACAAATTGCTAACTTGTTTTACCTGTGGCCAGTAGTCATGATTGCCCAAGGCTGGGAAAACCTGAAGATCTGGAAAGAAATTACGAATTGTGGAACTCATATTGCCAATGATGCTAATGACCAATTTTGTGGAGAGTTCTTTTACTGGAACATGAGGAGGGCTATCACTGAAAAAGGCAAAATCTTTATTAACAAAGGTTTATTGGCAACACAAGAAAAGGCAAAACATTCTGCAAACACACCTAGATTATAGCATGTAATACTACTACAGACTCTTTAATTAAAATCATAGAATTGCCTGAAAGGTATTTCATGTATATTCATGTATACCATAAAAAATTAGGTGATGATAGAATGGAGAATTTTGCTGTGGCAGAATGGTAAATTAACGGTATCTTTTATGAATACCTAGACAGTAAGAGGGCATGGTACTATCGACCTACTCATATGCCTCCCTTTCACACTTCCTTCTCCAGTCTCACTGCTAAGGCACACAAGGCCTCACAGATAACACCTGTGTGAGAGAGAGAGTACTATTATTGCCATTTTCTAATAAGGAACATCAGCACAGAAAAGGTAAATGTTTTACTCAACAGGGGACTGCACATATCCAAAATACCGCAGTGAGGGACTGTGAACCCACACTTTCATTAGAAGCCCATGCAGCGACAAGTGATAGTAATGAAGAGAGAGACAGCATCTATGACACTGTTATCCTCCCCTCACTAGTCCCAGATCTAGAATCCGTACAGGCACTGAACCTGAATGGTAACTTGTTACACTTAAAAAAAAAAAACCCACAGAGTTTAAGATTAGAAGTCATAAGCTATAGTATTGCTTGATTCTAGTTACCTTTCACAGAACCAAAGAAAATATAGTTAAGAGGATACCTTCTAAAAAGGCATGCACTTTAATTACCTTAAGACCTACAAAATCCAATACCTCCCATACTAATTAATTCCAGCCAGTTATTCCTCTGACCCTTCTTTTTGCTTTTTTTCACTTCCCACCCTCCCCACACTATTTCTATTAACTTACACTAATACAGTCATGTGGTAACCGTCCCAATGAACAGCTCAATAATATCCAGAAATTATTACAGAGATCAAAATCTGTTCCTGAGGCTTTATACTATCACTCAGTCTTCCACTTATTAGCCATTCAGACAACTAAAGGGACTATTTAAAAGTAGCATTTGTGAGATGCTAAACTTGGATCTGTTGGTGCAAATATAAACTTGTGAATTACTGCACTATATGGTTATCCAACTGTTAAAAGCTTTAACCGCGGAGTGACTTGAGCACTTACCCCGTCCAAATCATGAATGAAACCTGCTGTTTTGAATCCTTCATGAATGCAAATGCTGACAAAATAAGTTCATATGGAGAATCACACAAAAAGTCTCCAAAAGGGCCTGGGTTGGAGGCATTGGCTCCTTTGGAAGAAGAACAAACTTTGGTGCGATCAGGGGTAATGTGGTAGGTCGGATCTAAATGTAGGTCAGATATATGCCAGAATTGCCCTGTTTTCAGAAAACAAAGATTAAAGGAAATGCATTATTTGCATTTGAACTGGATATACATGGGTAATGCCAAGTTTGCTCCAGTTTGTCTACTGCTATTCCCTTCTCAAGTTTTGAAAAGGAGAATAAATTGAACAAATTGACGATTAGCCCATCTGATAAGTGTGGGTGAGTTCTGCATTCCTGGCAAGAGTCCTTCATGTTATCTGCTTAGAAAAACTGAAAACAGAAGCAGAGGCATAAATTTAAACTATTCAGCAGAAAAAAAATTGAGTCTGGTAGGGACTGGAAAATCAGCTCCTTTTTGTTAATAGCAATCTGGAAACTGGAGAGTAAAGGAGGCAATAGGACTTCTCCATTCCACCTGTGAAGAGAGAGAGTTGCATTTTAATTCTTTTTCCAGACCTTCCCTGGCTGGAAGCTACTACACAAGAAAGAAAGAAGCCTAGAAAGAAAGGCAAGAAACAGCATGCGTGCAAATATTTCAAAGCTCTTCTTCTCCCCAGCAGCCCCAGTAGCAAAGAGACTGGGCTTCTCACCAGAGAGGCATGTTAGCCATACCTACTCACTACTTTCCAGGCTGGCACTTTCTCAGCCACTGCTACTCAGCACTGCATGGAAAAAGGAGCTGAGACATATAGGAATATGGTGAACAAGCTTGGATGAGACTACCAGCCTTCAAGTTTCATGTAAAACAGGAGTAATTTGTGTCAGTTTCAGAGCACTTGGGAAAGGCAAAGGTGTGTCTGGGGTAGCAGTTGTGAAACCGGGACAGATATATAACTGATTCTTCCCAAGGTGACATGCTCAGTCGGTGTCAGAGCAGGCACCACGCAACTGCACCCCGTGGAGATTTATTTCAGGAAGACCAGCAGCGATCTTCGAAGCCTGAAACACTGAGACTCCTACCAACAGGAGACAGAAATGCCTGGACGGCGCTGCGTGTTTGGTCCGAGGCACGTAGGAGTCACAGGGACTGAAAAGCCGGTGGAAACCATTTCGGAGCGCTCACCTGCGGACGCTCCCGGGGTCACGCCAGGCAGCGCACGAGTGTGTCTGCTGACAGAAACCACCCTGCATGTCTGCAGCACGTGCCTCGGGACACTGCGCCCAGGGCTCACTGTCCCCAGCGCCAGCCCGCCCTGGCCAGCTAAATACAAACACCACTTAAACCCCTACACCTGAAGAGCCATGTATTCACCTATCTAAAAGTCAC